TGCTAGTTACACAACCACTACTTTTTTTATTTTTTTTACACAACCACTACCTTATTTCTTAAGTTTATACCTAGTACTTACTAAGAATATGAGTACTAAATTCATTTCCAATTTTCTTATTTTTCCTGTTTTTTAGCAACTCAGCTCTTTTAGGAGGTATATTCATGATCATTGTATGGAGGACGCATAGCATATAAATAATATTATCTACTGATTTTAACCATTCGATTAGAGCTAAATGCTATTGTTTTTTTCCTTGTTTTCCTTGCTTTCTGCTCTATTCTTAATGTAGGATCAGGACTGCTCCACGTCAGCGTACGACGCTACAAACCTCGGCTGTGTGGCGTTTCCACGGAGTCATAGTGGCGGTTCAAAATCCATGATGGCACTACGTATGTTTGTTCGTGCAAGCTGAAATTTAGTGAGATGGGAGTGCCGTCGACACTCAAACTTGCGAGAGAATTGTTTTTTCTTGTTTTTCAGTAAGAGTTGAGTCCTTTTGTGGTTTCCAATGTATCTCTTTGTATGTTCTATGTGTGTGAAACGATGCAATGGGTGAAGAGAAGCATAGAGAGTGAGAGAGAGAGAGATATATACTATTTCTCCCAAAATTTCATTGAGATGAATAAAAAATTATTGTTGTCTGTGGTGGTGGCTCCGAATGTTTCACTATTCTGAGTTATCATTATTATCGCTGACTATCTATGTTTTACTGATTTTATTTAATTCTATGCTTGTCTTGTTACTGTTTTCTTCTTCTGTCTGTTTCTGTGTGGTTTTACTCCAACTGGGATGTCCGGTTGAATCGCTCCACGCTAGGTATCTCGCGTCGCGAGTTCAAAACAATATGTCTTGCTATGGAGGATTGCTTAACCAAATACTACTATATTTAGGGAAGTTCTATTCTCCATACATGTACTAATTGAAGGAAATTTGGAATTTCTACTACTCTAGTTTCTTTTATTGGCATCCTGATGTTAGACATTTTAGGTTGTGTATAGCAAGTTTTATGTGATCTGCTTTCAGAGAATCAGACTACACCACCAATTTTGATGCCATTGGTTTATCATGGATGAGTATGTCCAAATGTATGAAGTGAGCATCTTTTTGTCTTTATAACTCCCCTATTTTGTTTTCTTAATTTCCTTGATTGATACTTTTCCTTAATCTTTCCATTCTTTATTTTTCTATGGTGATTATTTTTGCTTTAATCCTTGTTCTAATCAGACTCACTGCGGAGATAATTCCAAAATTTAAATTTTCACAAGTATATGGTTCGGGCTCTTTGAAGCTGATTTCAAGAAAGTTGTTGGGATAATGTAATATAAGAGATATGAACTAATCCACATAAAAGCGATGTCATTTTTATGAAATATGCTGAACATTTCATTTAAAATTTCTATTTTTTCCTACCATTAAAGTTGTTAGCAAGGGAAACTCATTTGTTGGATTTTCAGCTATATTAATGTGTTCTGAATAGTTGTCTTGAGGTATACTTTTAATTAAAATCTGGCGCTCGGAATAATTCGTTAACGTGTCCTTTGTTTAATTTCAGCTTCGGTACCCTCTTTCGTGGCGTTCTCTTTGTCGTGCGTATCTGTCCTCATTTTTGAATTGTAGTCTGTAAGGAGTCAACTTGCATCATTTGAACTATTAAATAAAATGTAATAATAAAGTTGCAAGTATAATGTAGTATATATTAATTAAGTAATAGAGAATATTACTTGGTATGAATATGATCAGTATTATTATATTAAGACTATAGTAATTACCCAATTAAGAAATAATATCTATATGTACTGTACCTTACTACTTACCTACCTTTACTTATTTTACAATTATACTATATAATATCCCCTATACTATTATTTCTACACCTTATACTACAACTATGCTTACTTACTATACTATAATATACTATAATATACTATATTATGCCTACTATTACTATTATACTACATATATCTACTCTCCCCATTACTCATTACTATATACTACATCTATACAATCTATACTATACAATATACTATAATTATACTATACTTCTATTTTTTTCAACTATACTGATAATATACTAAACTACTTACTGTACTATAATATAATCAGTATAATGTTTATATTATATTATATACTTATGCTCATACCTACTCACTCTTCGCCTCATAAACTTCTATTTCTACTATACCTCCTACTCCCCCTCTGAGCCTCACCCTATTACTTACAATATTATTATACTTTTACTATGTTTCACCTCTTACTCTTCCCTCTACCTATACTATATTTATATTATATTACTACTATAATACTCAACTTATATTAACTCATTTACTATACTATACTCTATGCTTACAACTACTATCTACCTCACTCGTATCCATATATCTATCCCGTACTCGCCATACTAAACACTATTACATATACTATATACTCTACTGATATATACTTACTAAATATACTATACTATACAATTATACTATTTGTATTGTACTATACTACTATACTATAACCAGTTTCTATCCACTACTATACTATACTAACCATATTATTATTACTACTATTTGCTACTCACCCTCACCACTCAGCTCATCACTATCACTCTGTATCTCGCTCACTCATTCTCACACACTCACTCTCCACTCACTCACTCTCACTCACTCTACCCCTCACTCAATCGCCCTCACGTGACCCTATCCTCTATTGTGCAGTATAGTATAAGTAGTAGTATAATATGGCTATAGATATAGTAGAGTATAGTAGTTATAGAGTAGTAGTAGTATATATATATACGGTAGTTTATATAATATATGTAGGTATATAGTATAGCAATAAGTCTCAAGCTAATAGTATGGATATATTTAATAGTTCAGTAGTACGCTCTCACACTCACTCACTCGTCATAGCTGTAATACCTCATATCTTAAATACCAGCAGTCAGCTCAGTTCACACGTCACTCTACTAGGCTCAGCGCATACTAACTCATCCCTATAGCACTTCACGCTCGCTCACTCACGCTCACCCTATACGTACATAACTAGTAATGTATAATAATAGTATTTTAAAGCCAGAAATGAGTAAGGGAGGATATAGTATGATGTGAGTATATGTGAGGTAGTCTATATAAGCCGATATAGAGTTGCAATTATTTTGAGTAGTTATCTATCTAGAAATTCCATTATAACATTGATTCGATTATGAGTGGTAATAGGATTAATTGTAACCAATATTTCGTGGTTTGCAGAAGACTGATGAAGAATAGTAGTAAGATGAATGAATTTAGAGTGATATGTATAAATAATAGCCCCATGTCTAGTCTATTGAAAGTATTGATACAGTTACTCTTAGTTACGCTCTCCTACACAGTCCTCAGTGAGATCGGCTACTCTTCTGTTTAGTGTAATTATATAACAAAGTGTAGTCTATCCACAATATAAGTAGTTTAATATTATATATAATAAGTAGTAGTATAATAATTAATAATAATATAGTATAATAGTATAATAGTAGCATATAACAGTGTATGTCGGGTAGTATATATAAGTATATAGTGCCTCACGCTGTACACTATAATATTAGAGTTGTAGTATAATATAGCCCGGCCCCGTCGTCCTTAGTACCGTTCTGAGTAAAATAAACCTAGCTCTATTTATAAGCCATATAGAATCCCTCTCGCTCAGCACACCTCTACTAGTGTGTCACCTCTCGCTTCTGGCGATGATTAGCAGTGTTAAGTATCGTATCGCTCTAATGATATTAATAATAGCCCGTAGTTATAGTATAGTTATAGTTGTTTAGTTATATATTTTGTTAGTTATTATAATGACTAGAGTAGTTGTTATACGTGGATCGCTGATGGAGTAGCAGGAAGTATGGGGGGTATAGTATATTGGTAGATAGTACAATTATAGGATTATAAGGCCCTATAGTTGGCAAACAGTTTTAGGTATAGTTTAGATGCCCATGAGAACATTAAGGGAAAAACTATCTACAAATACCCTATAATAATAAAGATGGTGTGAATATAAGTAAGAAGATAAAATAGTAAGCTAGTAGTACTCGCTGTAGTATATATAGCCCCTTTGAATAAATATGAATATACAGTAGTAAATCGTTTATAGTGTAGGTTTTCTGTTACGTATATTTCAGTTATGTATTGGCAGTAGTTTATCAGTATAATGTATACAACATGGCATTATGAGCTGCTTAGAGCTATAGTTATAATTATAGTATAATGTAGTTATATAGTATAGAGTAGTAGTAGTAGTAGTAGTATAGTGTAGAGTATAGTATTATATAGTAATATAGTATATATAGTGTAGTATATATAGAGTTGTAGTAGTATTATAATATAGTATAGTGTAAATATATAATATAGAGTAGTAGTATAATATAGTTATGTAGTATAGTAGTTGTATATAATATATAGTATAATATAATATAAAAAAGCATAGTTGTAGTTATATAATATAGAGTAGTAGTTGTAGTATATATAGTGTAGTGTATATATTATAGAGTAGTAGTAGTATAGAGTAGTGTATATATTATAGAGTAGTAGTAGTAGTATAAAGTAGTATTATAGTATAGTGTAGTTATATATTATGAAGTAGTAGTAGTATAGTGTAGTATATAATAGTTATAGTATATTATAGTATAATATAGTAGTATAGTATAATACTATAATGTAATATAATGTAATATAGTAGTGTAGTAGTATAGAAGTATAGTTGTATAGTATAGTATAGTATAGTATAGTATTGTCTAATATAATATAATATAGTGTGGTTATATAGTATAGAGTAGTAGTAGTATAGTGTAATAAATACCTGTGTTAGATAAATTTTCATTATTTTCACCACTCATCTATGTAGTCTAGTTCTTGAAGTACTGCTTCTGCTTCCAATATTTTCCTAGACAAAATTTAAAATATTATTGTTATGGAAAGAATTTATTTGATTGAAGCGCTGCTCTAACAAGATGTTGTTTGTAATTTTATTCATTGCAGGTTGGCACACCTATTTTTGGATAGCATTTATTCCTTTAATTGTAAGTATTTAGCATGAAAGAAACGAAATAGAAATAATAATAATAATAATAATTTGAGCATTGGAGTTTGAAGAGATGCCCAACTTTGTTTAGATTCTCCAGCATTATGAGAAGTCTGAATATTGTTATATTAGTAACTTTGCTAAAAAGATTTTAATCATTGAAGTTCATGTATTATTATAAGAGCTGTAGCTTCTCTACTGAATATTTTACATCATATATAAAATGAAGGCTTCGTTTGTGACGGTTTTCTTACTGCTTCTTAAAACAGTTTTTTAGTTTAAAAATTAAAATTTTTAAAGTAGAAAGCTGCTTTAAGCAGCAGTAAGAAAGACATCCCAAACGAAAGCCGAAATCACAAATTTTTAAAAGCTGAAATTTAAGTAAATGATTCACTGCACAATGTCTTATACGGCACAATTTGTACTAATTTATTTTCCATTGGTCTCATTGTTGATGGAAATGGATGTTAGCTTTAGAATTATTATGAAACAAATGTTTATATGCTTCCAAATAAAGGCACTGAATATAATCCTTTTCTATTTCTTCTACATTTGACAGCTACTCCTTGCTGTGGGAACAAAACTTGAGCATGTCATAAGCCAGCTGGCTCACGAAGTGGCTGAAAAACACTCGGCTATCGAGGGAGATCTAGTTGTGAAGCCTTCTGATGACCATTTTTGGCTACACCGTCCTAAGATTGTTCTATACTTGATTCACTTCATACTATTTCAGAATGCCTTTGAGATCTCATTTTTCTTCTGGATTCTGGTAAGAAGCATCATCTTTGCTTATATTGCAGAAACTACAACGTAAAGAATTTAATTCTGAAGTTGTTTTCGTCTGGCAGACTACTTACGGTTCCAATTCCTGCATCATGGAAAGAATGCGTTATATTGTTCCAAGACTTGTGATTGGGTAAGATGCATCTATCTAATTACTGCTATATTTTTTTCCCACTAATTAAATGAGTTGTGATCGCATGATAAAAGAAAGTATCCATTATTTGTGGATTATTTTATTGAAAATATTTTGAGAATTTTATTGTATGTTGGACTGACTTAAGTTTCGATTGATAAAGAGGGGCGTACTGAATTTATGTTGTATCAGCAGAATCGCTAATTAGGCCTGTAATTCCCTATAATTAAACTATAGTGAAATCTCTAGTAGCAATATCATGATGTAGCAATCAATTGAGTAACTGATAGGAAAAACTTGAGTTCGCAAGTAGCCCTAATACGAATACTTGAGTTCAGAAGCAAACCTATCACTAATTGGTGAAAATAGCGAGAATAATACAAAATCTGGGCGAAATTAGCCCCAAAATGTTGCATTGCAACAAGGGAATCAAAACCAAACAAACACGAAAACAATATACAAGTGATCCTCAAATTGAGAGGTGGGTCGTTCTCTTCTAATCTCTAGACAAAGAATCTAGAGCCAAGACGCCAAGGAACTCCAAGAGAAAAACCAATCAAAGCATGCATAACCCTAATCCTAAACAAGCCATACATTAATTCCCTAATTCAAACATCCTTAATTCAAAATTTTCCCTCTCATCTTAGCCGCCAAACCTCTCTCATCAATTTACTTCTAGTGGGGCCCACTAATGTGGGAGGCAAAAGGGAAAGGAGGCGGCAAGTGCCGCCTCCTGTAAGCCTGAGGCCGGCTGGGCCGGTTCAGGTTGAATCAGCCTAACCTAAACCTATATAAAATTCATTATGCTTTGTGTATTTATCTTTCTTCTATGTTTTCTATTTTTTTTCCATCCTTTGCATTTCCACTAAGTTTTGACTATTTTGTAGGTTGATCATTCAAATTCTATGCAGCTATAGTACTCTACCACTGTATGCTATTGTCACTCAGGTGACCTATAGTGCCATAATTCCTTACATATACTCTTGAAATCCACAACTGATACTAATCTTGATACTGTCACGACTGGTTTAACAGATGGGGAGCTCATTCAAGAAGGCTATATTTGAGGAACATGTGCAGCTAAGTCTGATTGGGTGGGCTCATAAGGTGAGGAAGCGCAAGGTCCATCGAGGCAGCGAAGCCTCGTCGACCAGATCAGGCAGTGTGGGATCGAAAGATCAGTCGTCGAGGGGAGCTCATTTACAGAAACTTGATCAAGACGATTTAAACGAAGATGGTCGGGTCGAACCTCAAACGAAATCTTCAACTCCACTGAACACAGGTCCAAAATCAGTATAGTCTTTTGTTTTTTGTTTTACTACAAGCCAGATCTTGTTGTAGAGTTAGTTGATAGCCATATCAGTCTTTTGAGGATCCTGCAAGAGGTTAGGACAGCATTAGTGGTTAAGCTGATGAAATTGTATACCGAACGCTTGTTATTTCAGTTGCATGTTCTGTTTTGAAGGCATGCCACATTGTAGATTCTGCAAGCTTAGAATGTGCTGAACCTCTGCTCTATTAGCCTACAAAAAGTTACAAGAATGCTATTTGCTTCAGCAATAATTTGATTTGATATTCTGTTAATTTCTTGATTAATGATACATCATCAAAGAATTTTCTTGATTGGGCACGAATCTTGAAGCAAAATGAAGTTGAAGACTGCAAAAAATAAATCAGAAATCATATGAACTTTGATTTCAGCAAATTTACAGTCAAACTGAAGGCCTCGAAAATACGAACCCAAAGATACCAAATTCAACCCAATCCGAGCTCAAATAGGTCCAAATTAAAGACTCGAAGTGCAATTGGAAAGTTCAATCCATAATTTAGATTATCAAACAATTTTCAAACGTGATATGCTTATAGTCGAATCGAGCAGCTCAGTGAGATTAATATAGCAAGCCCAAGATCGTCAAATTCTGATATCGTTAAGACATTCAAATGCCCAGTAAATAGTTCACGATCAAGGGATTTAACATCAGTAGTTCATTCAAATCACTATCAATTTATTCTTGATCTTTCTCATATTTATTGGCCATGTCACTCTCAGAAAATTATAAGTAGGCTCCTCATTTCTCATGAGAGGGGACTCCAAGCAAGAAGAGAAGAGAAGAAAGCAATGAAGCAAGAAGAGAATGAAGAAAATGAAGAGATATATCTTGCCACAAGACTTATTGATCACCATCGGACTTTCACCCAGTAATTGACTAGCACTGGAGTTTTGCCCAACAGCCGACTGATACTGGAGTTTTGCCTGACAGCCGACTGATGCTGGATTTTTGCCCGACCGTCAATTGAAGTCGGATTTCTGCCCGATCACCAAATGTCGCTAGATTTTCGATCTCCATTTGTAATTGAATTTCAACTCAGCAGTTGATTATTATAATCTGATCGTCCTTAATTTCAGGGGCGAGTCAACAACTTATAATCTAAGTAAACACTAGTAGAATCCTTTCAACTCGATGTGACCCCGTAGTTTTACCCCTTTTAAGGATTTTCACGTAAAAATCCTAATGTTACATCTTTCTTCTATTTGTGTTGGATATACATACAATGCTGAGATGAAAATTTTCTAACTCTATCACCGCGTATATTCTAACCCGCAACAATTACATTATTTCTTCTATTGAAATCATGAGGAGTTATTGACCTATTAGGCTATTACGATAGATGACTTCTCTAATTAATTAGAATAAATTTGAAGTCAATTTGATATTTTTATAAATAAAAATACAAATTTTTTCTCTTAATACATCTAATATTTTACATAATCTTCAAACTTAGATCAAATAATTGATTGTTTTTTAATAATAATAATAATAATAATAATTCATCTTAATTTATTTATTGAAAGGTTAATTTTTCAACTAAAGCTTTTTTGGTAGTATTTCTTCTTAAAATAATTTTTTACTATAAAATTCAAATTTTTATATAAAAAGTTATTTTAAAAAACAATAAGAAAGTCATAACAAAAGAAAGATTTTATTTGGGACCGCTTATTTACTATTTAAAGAAATAAATTTTTTAGTATAAAAAAATTTTTTGAATTAAAAATTTCTATACTACAAAAGATGCTTCGTAAAATAATACAAATAGTCATTTGAGTCGGCTTTATTATTGCTTTCTAAATTACAAAAATTTCTAAGACTCTTTTTGACAGCTTTGCCATTTTTTTATTTTTTAAACAAATCGTAATTTTATTTGACCATAACTTTCATACAATTTTTTTTAAAAAATTTTAGTGAAAATTTATTTTTTGCAACAATAAAAGCTAAATTATTTTTCCAACAACTTCAAATCAAATTTATAAAAAGCTATAACTGTCCTAAATAAAGAGATCTTATATTATGATATATATAAATTTATGATTAAATTTGTTCAAATTGCTTAAATAAAAATAATAATGATAGATATGTTTATATAAATGATATGAATGTTAAGATCACCTTTGACAATTTGTACATTAGATTTTGTAGATCTTTTAGGGAAAGAAAGTGCACATGGTCCTTCACCAACTCCTAACCTCTAATCATATAGTACATTATTCATCACTCTATACTCCTTTTAAAAAAAAAAAAAAAACTTTAATAATTCTTAGTCTATCGCTAGTTCATGAGAAATTATTGTGTACGTAATCCGAACGCAGAATAAGATTCGGATGTTGAGTATTTACTGCTTATTTTACTGCGTATTTTTTATACATAATTTTTTCTACATATTTTTTGCATATTTATAGTGAATATTTAGTGAGTACTATTTATCTGTTGCTTATTTGTCACGAAAAAGTTATGCATAAAAAAATACGCAATAAAATAAACAGTAAATACGCAACATCCGAACCTTTGCATTCAGATTGCGTACACAATAATTTCTCCTAGTTCATATTATGTCCTTCCAAATGAAAATATACATTGAGAGGATGTGATTTATCAAAAAATATTTATTCAGTGAATTTTAAAATAGGAGAAGTGAGATTATATAAACTGTGTTGTGGTGGAATTCTCACATAAAATCATATAGCCTATCTAAGCAACTCATATATTTTGAATATGAATTGCTATTTATAGTTATTAAAACTAAGTATGTCTTGAAATACAAGATAGGAAAAAATTAAGATCATCAATATACCCTTATAAACCATCAGATGGGGGGCTCCAAACTTGTCCTTAGAAGTAAAACTTTGGGACCAAACAATGTAACTAATGAGACTTTCCTTTGTAAAAATGATGCTGCACATTTACCTTTTGAGGCACGAAAAATTATTTTGTGTGAATGTCGAAGGCCATTTGGAGATCAATCAGAATACGCCACATCACACCCTTGCTCGGTACCGTTGACATGACGCATTCTGGTGTACACAATAATTTCTCCTAGTTCATATTATGTCCTTCCAAATGAAAATATACATTGAGAGGATGTGATTTATCAAAAAATATTTATTCAGTGAATTTTAAAATAGGAGAAGTGAGATTATATAAACTGTGTTGTGGTGGAATTCTCACATAAAATCATATAGCCTATCTAAGCAACTCATATATTTTGAATATGAATTGCTATTTATAGTTATTAAAACTAAGTATGTCTTGAAATACAAGATAGGAAAAAATTAAGATCATCAATATACCCTTATAAACCATCAGATGGGGGGCCCCAAACTTGTCCTTACAATGTAACTAATGAGACTTTCCTTTGTAAAAATGATGTTGTACATTTACCTTTTGATACACGAAGAAAAATTATTTTGTGCGAATGCCAAAGGCCATTCGAAGACCAATCAAAATACGTCACATCATTCTCTTGCTTGGTATCGCTGACATGACACATTTTGGTTGGTCTTTGAATGATGTTTTGTGTCCGACCTCCACATAGAATATTTCTCCTAAAACACATCATTATTGTGGTCACGAATCTTCAACCTCTTATCTAATGAACCCCACACCATTGCATGATGAGACACCCTCATGGAGTTGCATGGTGTGACTGTCCTTCCTAATAAAGAAGTTACATCTCTTCTTGCAAAAAGTTTCATTTGTAATGGCTTTCTTATTCCTTCTTAAAGTAGTTTTGAAATTCAAAAATTTTAATTTTTATATTAAAAAACTGCTTTAAAAAGCAATAAAAAAATTCATTCCAAACCAAATGAAACCTAAGAGTCACATGCTTGATGTGATCTTAAACCTTTGCATATTTGCATATTGATATATCATCTAATGATCTGTTTGATGATCTTTCTATCAAGCCTTTGCCTATTGAGGTCCATAGAGCTCTACCACATAAGACTTCTATCCCTAAGAAATATGACACATCATTATCCCTTGAGACACACATACTTACTGTGGACATCAAATCCTTACCTTGCATTGATGGACACATCCTTTAGTAAGATCATTAATAAATTCTTATAGATATATGCTTCGTTTGGGGCAACTTTCTGACTGCTTTTTAAAGTAACTGCAATGCTAAATCAGCCATAATTTATCCCCATCATCAAAGAATTACAAACAAATAAAGTTCAACACAATTACCAATATATGATGCAAATAAATGCTTTAATGCATTGGTCAAATCTTTTAGAAATAATTGTTAGTAGGGGTTATGGCATAAGCAAAGTAAAATAGCAGGAAAATAAAGCAAACATCGTTCTGAGTACTATCCTGTGGAGTTTAAAAGAAGCGCAGAAAAAGGAAGACATCAATACTCCTGAGCAGCACTGGCAGCGCTGAGATCTACGCTCAAATCAACGTCCTGAAAGAAAATCAGATATTTAACGATAATATACAATAAACTTATATGTGTATATTGCCAGCAAGAACTTTTGCAAAATATGAGGATGTAGATGATTGTATAATTTCTGAAGATAAGGCATGCAAGAATGAAAAAGTACATCAGAACTATAGTGCGATAAAAGATTAACAGGCAACTTTAAATGTAAATTTTGTATAAGTTCAATTAGGTTATTTATATTTTGTTAATTCTGGCATTGGTTGATAAACAAATCACTAATTGTCAAATTATGTGTGAAAAAATAAGAATGTTAAAAATAAAATTAGCTCATTTGGGTATATTTAACGAAGGATCGATGAGTGATGTCGGAAGAAATCAATGAAAATGGTTGAATAAAAATAACACATACAAATTCAGCAAAAAAAAAAAATCACAATATAAATTACACGCCCAAAGCACAACAAAATAGGAAAAAAAATGGAGAATGTTGATTCATAAAACAGGTTATAAATAGTGGGGATAAGGCTAATGATGATGATACAATTAGCCACTAAACTGAAAATTTACTACCAGAGGAAGCAAAACAGAGTCACAGTTAACATATTGAGTCAAGTGGACAAATGTAACGATAAAAAAACTTTGGTCAATAGATGCATCAAAGCATTCATTTCGTTGCTTGTGAATAGAAAACATGTTTTAGAAAACAAAATTTTCATTTTCACTCATTTTGAATGAGAAAAATGAAATAATCACTTTTAAGAGAGTTCTGATAAAATTTATGGAAATGAAAATCGACAGCAGTGTATAACTAAATACAAGCAAATGATGGATTTAATAAACTTTATAATTTCTTAAAACATAATTTCTAACTTAAAGTAACCAAATTAACCCTTAGGGGCTGTTTGGTAGCAGGATTTATGCCGGATTTGAGCGAAATCCAGCCAAATGGCATAAAATGCAAAACCAAATCTCACGGCAAACGAAATCCGCTGTAGACGGAAAATTTCGCTGATTCGTTCTAAATCCCGGATTTCCTAAATCCTATATTTTGCTGGATTTAGGAAATCCATGGCGCTAGAGGAAGAGTCGGCTCAGTAAATACTGCTCTATAGCCAAACAGTCACCTGATATTTAAGAGGATTTATCATGAATGTTACCAAACAATTTTCTGGATTTAAGCCCCTCAGGATTTCCAAAATCCGGATTTAGAGGATTTACAAAATCCTACTTAAATCAAATCCGGGGTGCTACCAAACAGTCCCTTAGCAAACTTCAAGGTAAAGTATTGAAATTACCTTTCCAGTAATCATTCTATACATGCTAAGCACATCCATTACGGTTGACTCAAAATGTGTGGTATCATCATAACTCTGCATGCGAAAAAATACATGTGAATGGATCTTTCTCACATATGACAACATTAGTAAATAACTGTTACGGCTTACAGTTGAGATGAAGCAATTATCTAGCGATGGTTCATTGACAGGCTCGAATCTATCATAGGTATCAAAAAATAGCTCATCCACCGGGCCAAGAAGATCAATTCCAGGCTTAAGTTCTAACTCAGGACGGTCTGTCTCAGCTTCAGTTGAAACAAAAGCAATGAACTTTCCTTTTGGGGCCACGTTATGCGTATAAGAACAACAGAAAAGATACCTGTTTGACCACATGTGCAATGCTTAGATTACCCTACTAGCAGAAAGAGCTGGTACGTAAAGATTAAAAGCTGGAGGTATGGATTGCAAAATCCCTACAACTTCGGGAAGCAGCCGAGGACTCAAAAGAGATAAATTGTTTGAGGTTTTAGGACTCACATATCAGACTTGCGCCCAAGCTGCTTCTGGGGCAGTATAACCTGCACTGAATGAGAGTCATTCGTATTTGGGATGGGATGGCTCATAAAAGCAATTGCTCTTGCAACCTTCCCAACCTTCCTGACCTGAGAAAAATCATGCAGAATCTCTAAAGAAGGTATGAAAGAAATCTAAAATCAAACACAGAAAATTTTCTATGTTATAAACTTTTTCAGCTTGAATTCATTCAAAGGAGCAATGATTATATGTTGATCAAGCAGTTTTGAAAACATAAACTACTTGGGAGAATTGCTAGAACACGAACGGAAAATGGTCTAAGTGCTATTAAGCTTGTCTTAGAAAGAGGATGTTAATTTCAAAAATAAGATTCTAAAATAGAAGTTTAAATGAAATAAGGAAACTCTACCCTGTTAGGTAGGTAAGAAGGATCACAAACAAGCTTCTTGCATCTTGCAGTTTCACCTTCTGATGTCACACCACAAACTTTTCCTTCCTCATCAAATTCCACCTGCCCACGACAAGATGCAGGTCCAACCAAATGAACATTAGTAAATTCATGAAAAAAGCAGCCTAAGATCAACTAAGTTTCTCAAATAGATACCAAAAACATAATTATAATCAAATGACAGAGTGCCTTTACCTTGCATTCAGGCTTGTTCAACATGTATGTGCCACCATAAACAGCACTAAGGCGTGCAAAAGCCTGATGTTCCAGAAAACACTCATAAACTAGTGAATGAAAGAAATATATGTAAACACAATGCAAGTAATGGCTCACCTGCGGAAGCTCCCCCAAGCCATATAAAGGATAAATATATGGTGATCCTCCTTGAAAACGAGCTAGAGACTCTGCATAAAGCTGTGCAAAAACAGGTCAAAGCTTCGGATAAATAAGATACGCATATGCATTTAATAGAAAACTACAATTCAGCTACTTGTACAATCTGGAAATGCACATTATTCTGCTAGAAATAAGATTGCCCATTAACATCTCCCCAGAACTTATTGGCATGGGTGCATCGTACACAACTATGCCAAATACTGTTGGGTGATACCGAATACAGAATGCATTGTTTTCAGCAAGACAGCTACTATCACTTTTGCTGAGTTAAGTTCATGAAATAAACCTTTTGAATACCAGAGCTACTTCGGGGTTGTGGAACTTGAAGGGGAAATAGAAGCCATAGAATATTAACTCTGTTGGAGAAGATGAATCTTCATGCTTGTTAGTTGGGTGTCAACATGGTGCCCTGAAATTATCAAATTATAGTCTGCTCACTATTTTAAGTGGAAGAGAGGCTAGGGTTTGGGGCTGGTTGGAATTGGCCTCTGTGGAGTTGGCTGAGTGAAGCGGCCAAACGATGTCTGTAAGCCATCAACAGGTAATTACTCTGTCGCAGCCTGGCTGAGCAACTGATGCGCTATTTGCTCAGGGATTGTTAGTTGGTGAAAGGTGGTTAGCATGTCAGCTGATATATGTTTGGATTGGGTAGTAGGACGTTAGGTCAGAGACGGGTTCACTAATTTTACAATCTGACACTCCTTAAGTGTTGATCTGGAAAGGCTTAATGATGAGTCCGAGGTGGTTTGTGCACAATTTGATCCCTCACTTCTAAGCTAAACATTTGGACCAATAAGATGATGTTGATGCATATCTTGAAAAGGGGGCTCAATCTACAACATTTAACAGTTCTCGCTTAAGTAACCTATTTGAGTCAAAATAATTGGGTTTGAAAGCATCCAATTTGTTTCCAACCATCTTATCCTCCAGAGTGCTGCACACAGTTTTCTGACTAGAATGAGCTCGGCCCAACGACTGCCTTTGAACAGCAACCATAGAATGTGAAATAAGAAAAGGGAAGAGGGCTCCACCATAACTCCCCTAGCATTTATAATCATGATACCACCCCAGCTTACTGAGTTTGATTTTGCCGCCAAAGCTAGATACTCCCTTCTTCATGCATTTCAAATGATAATTTTGGAGCCTTATCAAGATATATGATTCATCTTTTACTACAATGGAGGCTCCTGACTTCGACAATTTGCTGGAGAGTTTTTCTGCCAGAGAAATGGGACAACAACTCGTTTCCCTTATAGAAGGCTCCATAAAACAAGAGTTCGCTTGGATATAAGAGAGCTTAACATAAGTAATGGGAAAGTGGGAAAAGTTTCAACCTCTGCTAGAAAGGTTGTCCTGGTGCGGCAATTTAATGTGTATTGTCGTTGCATCTCGCCTAGCCATCCACCTAGTCAACAAATGCAAGGCAACCAATTTCGTCAACATTGATTCCAACTGGGTGGTCTTTGATGTCAAGCCCAAAATTGCGTAGGTTGAAAGAGATAAAGAGGCCAATGAGATAAAAATTAAGGCTAGCTCCAAACCCACCGCTAACCCTAAAATCCAACCAGCCAGAACAGCGTTAATGTTGGAAATTGCCTCATAAATCAACATGGGTGATACCATTGGCTCAACAGGTTTGCTTCTTGTGCCATAGGTTTAAGCTTACTACCTTTGAAAGTCACCTTTAAGGCACTTAAGAGGATGGAATGATTTCCTCTCTTGTTGGGGATGATGATCACAAGCTAGACTAGAGTTGGTTCCTTAGAAGCTTTTACATGTTATTGCTTAGCTGATCCAAAAATGAACCAAGACAACCTCTAAGTGATCGTGGATGCTTTATTAAAAGGAGCTGAAATTGATCAAATGAGGGGCCTGTTAGACCGGTCCACTGGACCGGTCCAGCCGGTCCAGGCGGGACCGGTTCACGGACGAAATTGCAAAAACGGTGGAGATTCCGCCTCCTGGCGGAGAACGAGCGGACCGACCGCTCAAACAGAGCGTTTTAGGAAGGATTTTTGGGGGGTTTCAGAGAGAAATTTGAATGTAGGGACTGCTTAGGGAATTCCTTTTGATTTGTATGCATTAAATAGATGTTTTTCCTAGGGTTTGGGCATCTTGAATTTGGCTGAAATTTGAGATCTCTTAGATTTAGATTTTCTTTGGGCTCTAGCGGCGTCTAGAGATTTGGGAGAGATCGATCCTCCTCTCGAATTGAGGATCAATTGTATCTTTGCTGTTTTCTTCTTCTACTAGTGGAATATAAATCTTGCTTTGAGTTTTCTTTCCAATTTCCTCTGAAATTCTGCTGTAAACTGCTGTAAACAGCAGATTTGCTGTGTTTTTCTGCTGTGGACAGCAGTTTCCATCGGATCTACTTCAGTTTTGGTGAGAAACACTTGGGAATCCAAGTGTTTCCTATCAGGGCCTTAATCTACCGCCAATTACCAGAAAAGCACATAAATACAACCAAATCATAGGCATGTGGCATTTTTGGATCTTTAAAAATCAACTATTTTAACAAAACCCATGAACATAATCATCCTCACAACATTAATCAAGAAACAAACCCAAGCAAATTTCTAAGATGCATGGTAAATAAAACTAGTTATCAAATAATGTTCCTTCTTGAAAATATATGATAATTCATAAATCAAGTATCATATTTCATGGTATGTTTAAATGGAATAATCGTGATAGGTCGGCCTAAATTTAAAGTTTAACTTAAACATTAGGGAGCATAGAATTTATTGAATAAAACCCAAAGCATAAAATATGAAACCTTTGTAAAGTGCAAGAAGTGACCAGTCAGTGATATCTAAGATGAAAAGTTTAGATGTCATGGATCTTTTATAATGATCATGATCCAGATGGAAATACAGCTAATAATGACAAAACTGGGTGTGTTTAGAATCGATAGGTCCACCTATCATACAATGTGAATGGAGAAAATCAGATACTAGATGACAGGTTGATAAAATAAGACTATTTACCCTGTATTGATCCAGGCGTACATGAAAAAAATGTCAAAACTAAATTGAGAATGGTGATAATGTAAATGTTAAGATCAATGAAAAGTCAAATTAGAAGATAAACAGAAGCATATTTATAATAAAGCATACAAGAGTAACGCTTCTTGAAGATAAGTATTATGGGAGACTGACTTTAATGGTTTAGACATAAAATAGAGAGCAGAATATACAGGAGTTAGCGTAAAAGAAATATAAAGAAAAGGGGCAGCTCAATGGTAGCATGAATAGATTTTGCGCAAAAATGATTCATGCAAATTATGATTAATAACAAATGCAGAAGCTAACAAATAATTAATAATGCAAAGGGAATCATAAAGTAGACCCCAAATATTTGGAATAAAGATAATAATGATCCGGCAGGATAAGATGAATTGAACATACAAGGTATGAGGATCAAATCACGTTTGTAGACGAGGGATCAAAAAACCTACACAAACGTTGTGACTATTCAAAGACATGCTAAACTTTGCTCCTGCGGACAGAAGAATCCAAGTTAATATTACGTCAATTTATCCCAAAGAAAGTAAGCTGCCATTCATTAGGTTTTGATCATGCACCCTCATATGACATTTACGGGGAAAAGAGCTTTGTTTCTGTTTGATGAATTGAAGCAATGGTTTTAACTCTAAATCAGTAATTAATGTGAATCATTAGATTCAGAATAAGCTATTGATGCACATATAGATTCCCGCTACTTCAGCCTTCTTCCAACCAAGTTAAGGTTGACTATAGTTTCTACGAGAGTGCTAGGATCAAAAATTCAAAATGGTCCCGCAAATGATGGTTAGAAATAGCATAAAAAAGGAAGCTCATTAAATTAAACATTAAATTTAGTTATAAAAGGTAACTAATGGAGGAAAAGAGTTTGCATATTCCACACCACAACTAATGCGATAATGATGATAAAATGAAATAAGATGATGATGATCAGTGAGTACACGTAAGATTTAGCAAAAGGGTGTGGCGATGATTCCATAAGTGACTTATGGATAAGGCTCCAAATAAAATATGGAAGAAACTAAAGAAGAGAGTATTATAGGTGAAAAACAAGTCAATTCATGTAGTACACATATTTGCAATGACAACAATACAGAAAAACTGCAGCCACTGATGAGAAATGTAACAAAATGAAAGAATAAACTAGAAAATCAAAATTGTTTGAAGATCCATGCATGGGAAAGGCCAGTACATTGGGTTGCCCGCACATTGAATTATGCAATTTTAATGATTTGCCTGCTTAGCCTATCCTGTGAAAAATTCTTAACATCTCTTGAGAGAAAAAAAAAAGGTCCTCATGGGTCACAGTATAAATGATTTTCAAGTCTACAGCTGAATTACGCAAGTTTTGAGCAATCTAAGCACCAAGAAATGATACCTTCATTCGTTTTACAGTATCTAGAGCTGGTTCATCTAGATATTTATCATCTCTGTGCAGTGCCAGCGCATGACCGATAAAGTCCACCGTGTTGTCATCCAGGCCATATTTCCTATGCAAGAAAAAATAACCTGAATGATTTTGAGCTTCTGGATAATGAAATTCGAAGATAAACAAAATAAGTTCTCCAATTTATGCAAAATTTTTATATCAAATCAACTTAAGAAGCAATGTCGTTGAATGAAAAGAATATAAAGTTTCAACTTCTAAGTAGCTGGCATATTTGAAACAGTCTTATGTTATGCAGAAAATCATCCAGTAATGCAAAAGCAGTTAAGACTTCTTAACATGCTAAATAAGGCACATCCCTACCTGGCTATAAAATGATCTAACAGATACTATTTGGAATCAAACTTAAATTTTTTATGTCAATGGAAAATTCTGATATGCCGCCGGCCCAGGAGGGGCCGGCTGGACCGTTCCATGTTTACAAACGGCGGGCCTCACAGGGGCGGCGAAAGACAGAAAAAGGGGGGGGGGGCGGAAGACCGAGAAAGAAGGGGGGGGCGGAGGGGAGGTCGGCCATGCTTGGTCTAATTCAACTTAGGAGGGAAAATTTGAATGAGAGGGGCTGTTTTAGGAAGTTTGTAATTGTCCTTTATTGTTAATTAGGAGCTTAGGAGGTAATTGAATCTCATCTTGAATTTTGAAGGAAAGATTGGAGATCTCATTGTGTGCTTGGGCTCTAGGGTTTGCTAGAGACTTGTGGAGAGTTATTCTTCCTCTCGAATCGAAGAACATTGTATCTTTTATCGTTTTCTTGCATCTACTAGTGAATGCTTTGATTTTCCTCCCAATTTTCCACTGTTTTATTGCAAAACCTGCTGCGAAGGTGCTGATTTTCCTACTGCAACAGCAGATTTCTCTCTGTTTTGTACTAATTTCGACTAGGATTGCTTGCGAACTCAAGTATTACCTTAGGGTTACTTGCGAACTCAAGTATTTCCTATCAAATTGGTATCAGAGGTTCTCACCCTACATAGGGTGAGTTTGAGGGATCTTTTCACTGATTTGCTTTTTAGAGCCCCCACACTTATGTTTGGTTACAACTTTCTTGTTATTTTTAAAAATTTTTGTATTGAGAAGCAATCTTTTACAACCAAATCTGCAAGAGTGTGATGATTATAAGCAAGTGATTGTCTGACCTTTAAAAAAATCAATCTATAACACCACCACCAACTTTCAAAAATCTACTTTTACTACAATATTTCTACAAATAGTTATTGCCGTACCAAACGGACCCTTAATGCACCATTATTCAAATGTAGAAGTGAATTTCTAAAGCCCAGAGGTTTTATTCCATCCAACAAAATAGAATTAGCAATCACCAATCAACATCAACAAAAGTAATCAATTAATTCTTTTATTTATGCACGTATAGCTATACTTGAGATGAGGAAGAGGTGTTTCAGGCCTCTATAAATCCTTTGAGTTTCATTCTTGCAAAAGTACTCATGCTGTATAAGAAGATTCCTATGTATTTTGACTACGGCTGAAGGTGCAAAAACCAATCAAAGAAACCTAAATTAACTTAAAATTCACATGATGTAAGAAATTTTGATCCAAATTGGAAATCATTGACATATTACATTTTGTCAATTCTAGGACAAATTCATCTCTCTTTGAAGATGTTAGACCGGTCCAGCCGGTCTAACATGGACCAGTTGTTGGAGGCGGAATATATCCCACCTGTTTGGAGGCGGAACAGATCTGCCTGTTTAGGCGGACAGGCTTGTACCTATTAAGAGCAGAAATTTCGCCTGTTTTAGGGGGACAAGCTTCCGCCAATCAAGGAGGGGTGACTGCTAGGATGGAAAGAATTCAAATGCAATGGGCTATTTGGGGATTTTGGATATTTTTTGTATGCTTTAAGTAGAGTGTTTTTCATAGGGTTATGGGGATGTCTTGTTTGCTGAATTTAAGAGTATTCTTAGGGTGTTTTGGGCTCTAGTCATCGGCTAGAGATTGAGAGAGCCAGATACTCCTCTCCAATTGAGTATCAATTGTATCTTGTGTGTTTTCTATCATCTACTATCAATATAATCATTTCTCGCTCGTGTTTCCCCTGCATTCTACTTATTTCTGATTTTTACATTTTGCTAAATTCAAATTCAACAAAGTTTATTGTGATTTCAATAAGTGTTTCCTATCAGAAGATTTTTTTACTCAAAAGGCCATAGACATGGATGATTTTTTTAAAATTAATTTTATCCATTCATCTAAGTGCCACATTTCTAATCCTCATTGTTCATGTCCAAACCATCTAAGTCTATTTTCAATTATTTTATTTTAATATATGTCACTCCAACTATTTTTTTGATAGAATCATTACCTCAACTATGCTTCCTATTTGTTTTCACACATTCACTTAACATTCTCATTTTGTTACACGCAACTCAACTATCAATAGCATTGTTTATCATTCAATACTCAAACCAATACAATATTATATGTTTAATTGCAGAATAACAAATACATAAGTAGAATTAGCTCCACAAAAAAAAAAGAGAGTTAAATTAGATATTTTGGACTTGTGAGGTCCGTGCCATGCTCTTTAGAATGGATATGCATAATGTATAATTATTTTCTTTAAGTGGTGGTACTGGCTTCATTTTATATGCCAAAATTAACTTTAAAATATAACTTAATTAGGACTTTGAATGATTTCATCTCGGGCAAATCCAAACCCAACACAAGCTTGGCTCAAATCATTCAATTTACTCTCGAGCCAAGCCAAACCTAGATATGGATTGTGTGGGTGCGTCTCTATGTGCTCCTATATGCATATGCATACATTTCAATACTACCTCAAGTTGACTCAATGTAATCTAAGCTCAACTGAAATCAAAGTTAAATTTGAGCTAGGAATGGCTCATTCATTTCAATTAAATCTTTATTTGAGCTAAAACTAATCTTGTTATAGAGTGATCATTGATCTTTGATTCAAATACATAACCATAATCTTAATATAATATCTACATTAACAAACATCATGCAAGTTTATTAACAATAATTTGATGGAAGAATTTCAAATTTATATATTCAAAAAATGGTCGTAGAACTATCAAAAGTACTAAAAAATTTGGCAAGGACTCATTCTAGCCTAATTTTTAACCCATAATTATTATTATCAATGGCATTATCCAAATTATATAGGATTGACTTTACTAAACCTCATTTTCCATTTGTACATGCTAAGTATTGTAAGAGGTGAAACTATTTTTCGCAAATCATTTTAAAAAACTTCTATTCATATCATACCATTTTCCTTTCTAATCCTCTAGCATTGATTTTATCCACTTATCTAACTAGTGCATTTTCTATAATTCATTAATCATTATATTACCCCAAACACCTAAAGCTTGTTTTCGATTACCTTTCCTTCAATAGTTATCACTTCAATTATATCACTAAAATAATATTACCTTAATAGATCATTTTTAGTTTTTTCATATGTCCACCTTACTATTCTTATTTTTGTCAACCTTGACTTAGTTATCAAGACTTGTTTTATTGTCTAACATTCAAATTCATATAACATTGACGGTCTAATTATATTTTTATCAAATATACTATAAATTCTCAACGATATCCTCTTATCGCATAACACTGCAAAGCACTTATTAATTTTAACTACCCAAATTTAATTTTAAAGTTATATGATTATATCTTAATTCTTCTATTTAATAGATTAAGATACTTAAACCTATCACATATATGTATCATTTCATCTTCTAAAAATATTTATTAATAATTACTAATATCATACCCTATAAAATCACATATTAAAATTCAATTTTTGTTCTAATGATCCTAATAACTATAAAATTTAAATATTTTCCCATTGTTCTAAATTTTTATTTATTTTAATAGATGTATCACCAATTACAACCAAATCATATGTAGAAAGTAGGCAACAAAGCATCATATTGTAATAGAAATATTGTTAGTAGTTCAAGAACTATTTCTAATAAGAGTTGGCATGATGTCATGCATTTATTCAATAACTTCAACATTCCTTTAACATACATTCTTCCTTAACGTGCATTGACCAATTCTTTTGGTACTCAATCATATGTATTATTAAGATCAATAAAAAACTATATAAAATAGCACATACTTATCATCATGGCCAATACGCGAATAGCCGAAGACTTTTTCCAACTATTGGGAATGGCCATTTTAATCTTCTTTAGAAGTCATACTTGTAACAAAAAGTTGATAGAATACATTATAGTTTATCCAAACCCTTACAAGCAACTTCTAACCACATAATTCAGGCAACTCAAGTCTTTGTGTTAACCATCTCATTTAGTTGTATACAAAAACTTCCACTCATGTTAACAAACCATATCATATCGCACTTCAATCATTTTTCTCATCCACACCCAAAAGGTCAATTCATTGCATCCCTACTTCTCAACTTTCTGCTCCCAAAGTCCGCTCACATTTATGGCTTTTTAAAATTATTATTTAGTCTATAGCTGAAACCTTTTGCATATACTAAAGTATTCACAATGCTGGGTTACTTTTCGCACTTTGAGCTCTAACATGCATTGCCTTTCAACTGATGAATACTTGACAACAAGTATTCTAATATTTAGTGATAACCAACAAACTGCAATAGACATTCCATGATAATTCATTAATTAAGTTTTTTTTTTTACTAAATGAGAGTGAACAAATAATTTATTTGTTAGGTGATTTTATAACAGCAGCGGTCATTACATGAAGTATGGAAAAGCTATTAGACCTGATGATATTCCAATAGAGATGTGGAAATGCTTAGGAGATGAAAGAATTTCTTGGCTTACTAAACTTGTTAATACTATTTTGAAGACTAAAAAGATGCCAGATCAGTGGAGAATGAGTGTGTTAATTCATATTTTTAAGAATAAAGGTGATGCACATGAGTGTGTGAATTATAGAGGAATTAAATTAATGTGTCATACTTTAAAACTATGGGAGCGAGTTATGGAGCATAGGTTGACGCATGATACTAATGTTTCTTAAAATCAATTTGGATTCATGCCGGGTAGGTCTACTATGGAAGCCATACATTTATTGAGAGGTTTGATGGAGAAATATAGAGAGAATAAGCAAGATCTGCATATGATAATGTTCCAAGAGAAGTGCTATGGAGAGTTCTTGAAAAGAAAGGAGTTAATAATGCTTATATTCAAATCATTAAAGATATGTATGCAGGAGCTATTACTTGTGTTCAAACATAAGGTGGTTTGACCAAGTATTTTCCTATTTCGGTTGGATTACATCAAGGATCAGCCTTAAGTCCATATCTTTTTGCTTTAGTCATGGATGTTCTCACTAGACATTTGCAAGAGGATGTACCTTGGTGCATGCTTTTTGCTGATGATATTCTTCTTGTTGATAAGACTAGAGAGGGAGTTGAAGGTAAACTTGAATTATAGAGGTCAACTTTAGAGTCTAAAGGTTTTCGGTTGAGTAGATCTAAAACTGAATATATGGAGTGTAATTTTAGTGGAAATAGATCTAGTGAGGGGATTGTGACTTTGGGCGATCAAGTCATTAATAAGAGTACACGTTTTAGATATCTTGGATTTATTGTTCAGGGTGATGGTGAAATTGATGGGGATATTATCAGCAGAATTCAAGTTGGATGGTTGAAGTGGAGGAATGCATCGGGCTCATTGTGCGATAGAAAAGTCCCCCTCAAACTTAAGGGAAAATTCTATAAGATGGTGGTGAGACCTGCAATGCTTTATGGTGCCGAATGTTGGCCATTAAAAGAGAAGCATAATACTAAGTTAAGTGTTGCAGAGATGAGGATGCTTAGGTGGATGAGTGGCTTGACCCTTAGAAATAGGATACGAAATGAGCATATACATGAAAAGGTTGGAGTAGCTCCAGTGGAAGATAAGACTAGAGAGAGTTGCCTTAGATGATTTGGTCACATTAAACGGAGGCCTTCCGATGACCCGGTTAGGAAAGTTGAGGTATTAGATTTGACTTATGTTAAGAAAGATAGAGGTAGACCTAAAAAGACTTGGTTAGAAAATATTAGAAATGATCTTTCTTTATTAGATTTAGATGAGAATTTGATTTTTAACCGGACACAATGGCGAAAAAGGATTCATGTAGCCGACCCCACGTAGTGGGACAAAGGTTTGATGTTGTTGTTGTTGTTGTTGTAGCGGTCATTACATGCTAAATCATTATAGTTAAATTTTTAATGTTTGCTAAATGAGAAGAGTAATGTTTTGTTTGTTATATGATTTTTTTTGGCCGTATTGATGTTGAATGATTCCTAAACAGCATGTCAAACTCTTAAACTTCTTTTGATGTCATCTGCTTGTTATTTTTATTAAGTCATTGCTTCTTTTTTTTTTTCCTTTCTATTAACATTCTTGCAGCTAAAACTAACATCTGAGTAAGGCAATACCAATATATAAGCAGTAGCTTAACTTTCTGGGACATGCAGTCTAAAATACATTTCAAGTTATTTCATTTTTATGTCCTGATATACATAATATGGTACTTTTCTGCAATAAAACCAGGGCTAGTTTAACTGAAATTGCTAATCTCTTACATATATCTAAAGATATGTACAATGATGCAGGGGAAAGACACTAAGCATCTTCTCTGTCAAGAATGAAAAATACACCATTAATCTATCGCAAGTAAAATTCTTAAAACAACCATCATTTCTGTATAATCAGATCTTTTAACTCATACCGCCTTATATGTGTAATCCAATTTAATTTTCATAAATTTGTTTACATTCTATCAACACCCATTTTGTTAACTCTTCTTACTTTCTCACAGATGATTTCACAATAAATTTTTTCAATAAAAGCTTCTTGCTGAGATCTACTAGCACACCACACTCCCATGTCGCCACCTCCTATGAGATCTCTCACAAAGCTGCCAATGTGATGAGATCCTCCTACATGAAAAGCAAATGCTACTACCAAGCCAAGTCCTTCAAAATGTTCGGATCCAAGCTGCCATTACAGTGATTAGAAACATCCTCCTTCCACCTTTTAATGCCCTGTGATATAGTTGGAGGATTTTCATAATTAATACCTATTGCTTTTACGTATTTAACATCTAAATTATACTATATACTCAGTTAACACTTAACAACTTTAAATAACAATAAAAATACCACCTACCCAAACTTCCATTAACATTGTCATTCACGTTCCGAATGGCTCGTTCTTCTCCGCGAAACTCTAGATGATGATCCTGTTGCAACTTCAACCTTATTTGAATGTCGCGGCCATTCCTAAAAATGAGTCACCTCAACCGACCTTCGCAATGGAATCTCATTTGCATGCTGTTGTGGCCACGATGGGTGGGATCCCATTTGCATGCCCTCATGGCCCCAATGGGAGTTGCTTTCACACTTCTTTGTTGTATAAGGGAGCCACAACGTTCAGAGATGAGAGTAATGGCGTTGATAGAGGTTAGGATATGTGATATTTTTTGGTTGTTTAAATTTGTAAGTATTATATGAGTAAATAGCAAAATTTGGGTGTTAAATATCTAAAAGTAGTAATTTTAGATGTTATATATGTAAACCCCCCCCCCCAAGTAAAAGTAAATCACACTAGTAACGTGCTCCTTCACCTTGCGCGTGATAACCTTGAGCTTGACATTCTTCATCTCCACCCAAAACTTGTCTAGTTCCATCAAAAGTTGACTATTGTAATCCTTTAATTTGCCTTTCATTTAAAATATTTTGAGCTTGTATGCAGCCCACCTTAATGTATTAGTTAGGATCTTAGACTCCCAACTAAGAGGTCATGGGTTTGAGGCCTTACATGTGCATGTGTGTGTGAGTATATGATTAAATTCACTCAAAGTTATAAAAAAAAAAAAATCAATTCAACAATACATAAACATAGCAAAACTTCTTCGTCTGCAATTATTGAGTGGACAAAAATGCAACTTGTGGAGTAATGTATTAGGATATTTAGCAATGTGTATGCCATTGTAACAAATTAAAAAGCAAAAAAATTATGTCAGAGATTTAACAAGGGGGAATGTTTTCTTTTTAAAATAAAACAAGTAGACAATTACATCCTATAAGCAAAACAGAAGCAAGTGAGGTTCATAAGACATCATAAAAAACATATTGAGGGGCTATTTGCTTTGATGTATTAGAAGTATATAGTAAACCAAATGCAAGGATTATAAAATTTTAGGTGTTTGATTGGCATAAAAACAAATTTAAAATAATTTATTGAAGGATTTGGAATCTACCTCTAAGTTCATTTTTGGAGTATTATGAACTCTCCAAAACTAGGTGAAATCAAAATGCGTTGCGGAATGAGATCTCTTTCCCTCCTCACATGTGACGACAACCATCACCGATCACGTGATTCTTCCATCCCTCCCCATGAGCGATGCAGTGCAAGCCATTCCTATGATCTCCCAGATCTTGTGACACCCCAAGGATGTCATCCACACAACATGAACTTTGTTCCTCTACACAAGTTCCGACTCTCAACAACGCTATGAAGCCACCCTTGTCGACCTCGTGAATCTCTACCAATGCCCCACTCCCGTGCCCTAGGTTTGTTTTATTATTATTATTTTATTTAGATTATTTATTTCCAATAAAAACAAAAAATGATCTCTTTAATTTATTTTACAACCAAAGAAACAACTCTAGTATTCCAAATGCACTGTATTCATTTCACACCGTAGTTAAAATACACATAAATTTTAAATACTTGTAGTCAAACAATCACTTAGTGAATGTTAAATACTCCGATAAATAACAAATGACTTATGCCCTCAGATATGAGCTTAAATAATCATATAGTTAATATATGGTTAATTGTAAATAAGAAAGATTTACGATGAAATCTTAAAATAACTTCATTCTCAAATAGCCGAGTATTAGAAATCCCAACTTATCAATATCAAACCCTAATGTTTCTTTTTTTTTTTTTAATATCATAATAAAGTATCCATGTTGGGCTCGGTCATAATTAAAAAAAAGCTCATCAATTATAGATAACTAAAATCCCATGCTTATAAGCAATAAATAAATAAATAAATAAATAAATAAATATGCATTTATTCCACTACGTGGAGTCGGCTAAATGAATATTTTTTCTCCATTGTGTCCTATTAAGAGTTAAATTCTCATTTAAATCTAATTAAAAAATTATCATTTTTAATACTTTCTAACCAAGTCTTTTTAGGTGTACCTCTAACTTTCCAAACATAGGCCAAATCTAATACATTTACCTTCCTAACAAGGTCATAAAAAATCCAACTTTTTATGTGACCAAAACATCTAAGGCGACTCTCTCTAATATTATCTGCCATTGGAGCAACTCCAACCTTGTCACGTATAAACTCGTTTCACAGTTTGTCTCTAGACACCAAATACTTATAATCTTCAATTTGAAAAATAACTCTAAAATCCCAAGCACCAAATATTTCTCCACTTTATAGTTTGATGTATGTTAAGCTTCCCTTAGGGATATATAGAACTTCAAAAATGGACTGTTTACTAATCAACATGCAAAGGCAAGTAAAGTCATTTTACGAAAATAACATCTTCTAAAAAAATATGAGGATTTTCTTTGATTCTTGCAAGGAAACTTTGAAGTGTCAATGGTAACTTTCAGATATAACATATCCAGCACAAGTACTGCACATGATCAATTATGCTCAAGATTCTCTATGCCAAATTTAGAAGCTAAAATGTATTCGACCTAGCGTACTTGATCATCATAGAGAATTGAACCTACACATTAAAATATATTATAAATACAATCCGCAAAAAATCTTTATAATAACTAGAACAGGAATGCAAAAATAGAAATAGATGCACACGAAGAAACTGTGGCATGGAAATTGTTAATAAAAATTTCAAATGCCTAATAAATAATTACTAGAAAAAAGATCAGAGGCATACGCAATCAGCTCTTTAGTACTCAATCTTGTTAGGTCTAATCCCTCATGTGTTTTTGGATCTGTCTCATCATAATCCTGCACATATATGAAAAATTTTCTTGCTCGGCGTTTTTCGAACAAACCCATCAATGGAGACTTCAGTGCCTCCATGTCAGTTGCAGGAACCTTGTGCACCTACACAAATGAAGAAAGGATGTGTCAGTGCTGGAGAACAAATATGATAAGAAAGTATGGTAAAACATAAACCAATACGCAAGTAGTTGCAGAAGGGTTACCTTTCCTTTGTTATAGACGTAGCTCCCATCTACTGCTTTAAAAGACAAATACTTCGTAACATCCGTGTGTATGAGTACTCTAACTAAAGTGCCATTTGCCATCATGAACTAGACATAAGAACATAAAACAATTTCAAAATATCTTCCATGATGAAGTTGTACAATTAGTTTCAGATAGTTGATAGAGTAGCAGAGCTGGAAAAAGCAACAAGCTTGCTGATAGTAAGCAGTGTTATACATATGTACATTTTCACTAGTGGATTAATATCAAGCATAGAAGCAGTATGCACACATTTACAAGGTGGTTAAAATCAAACAAAAAAACTGTATGTTAAAAGATTTAAGGGAAAATAAAATTAGCGAAAAAGATGCATCAACTTCCCCAGTGACCCCACTGTACATGCCATACGTTTGCTGATATGGACTCACCCAAAACTCAAGGTTTTTTATCAACAATCATGTCCAACAAATCAAAAGAGAAACTTATGTGCTTTTCTTTCTACTAAAAATAGAATAATGGATAATTCAAAATGCTCCAAAATGACATCTAATCCTTGGACATCTCATTTGGAATGTAGTTAAAGGGAAAACCACAGCAAGCAAATAGTTAACATTCAAATAAAAAAAAAATCCATATGCAACCAATAATAAATTTAGTAGGATCTGAATTTCTATTAAACCTATACTCAAGAAATATTGGAAATGTTAGCATTTCAAGGAAAATTTTTCATTCACTATACCTGGACAAGTGGATGCAATAAATGTTGACAACTAAAATATGAAGAAAAGTAGAAACTTCAAAACAGAAGAATAACCTTATCTACCTTGCTTATGCATAATACAATAAGAACTTAAAACGAACTTAAATTTCTTAAAACAAAGCAAGTAAAATCTTGCCATTCATTTGGAAAAGAAGTCTCAAGTGCCAGCATACAGATTCAAGCTATTCTGTATTAATATATCTAATCTACTACTTCTCATATTAAATCAACAACCAAACAACCTCAGGGCTCATATGGTTGCTTGAAGTTAGAAAACATCTTTTGATTGGATGTATTAAGAAATCAATATTGGCTTTAAACTCTATAGCATCATCAAAATCCATCAGAAGTAATGGTTCTCTTTGCACAAACAAAATAAGTGAAAATGAAACCATCAATTTTAAAACATGTTCTCTATATGAGAACCAAATGGGTGCTCAGAATAAATTCATTTTTGTGCACAGTTCATTGTGCCCTTATTTAAAAAAAAAAGGATTTTTACATACATAACACTTAAAAGTTTCTTATTTACTCATCTAACATCTAAACTTTTCTATTTACACACCTACCACTTAAAACGTCTTTTACTTTCTAAAATACCACTCCTACCACTCCGTCTTCCGCTCCGTCAAAATTAGCCCGAGACTACGCGGCGGAAATGAAGTGGGAGATGAAAAAGCTTACCAGAACGCTAGCATGGGCAGAGATGTTGCCGCTACTGGTGTGGACGATGACATCATGCCTATAACACTGCTGCCCTTCTCTTCTACTCGAAAATAAGGTTTTGCGCACGAGAAACATTTCCGACCAGCTATCTCCCTTTCTCTCCTAGCGCATGGGAAGAAGCGATAATATCTCATCACCAAAATTTTCGGCTAAGAATTTTTTGGTGAGAATGAAATCATTCTTTCAGTCAAAATTTTATATCATGAAAAATCAAGAATCCACTTATGAATCTTCATCCATATCCACTTTAAGCAATGAAATTCATGTTTAAGCTAATATGTGATTCTATACATTTGCCTTCTTTATCTGTATGACCCGCCGTTCGTTGGCTAGCGCTCCGGTGAGCATTCAGCCCCAAAGAAGGTGGCGCCTATGCCTTTTTCTCTTCTCCTCCAAAATCAAACACTTTATTTTTAACCAAATAAGAAGGAGAAGAAGGCGAAGGACTCTAGCAGGAATAAAATGGAATAAAATCCTTTCTTTGTGCAGAGAGAAGAAGAAGCAGAGGAAGGAGAAAAAGGACAAATAATTTTAATTTTGCGGTACAGAGCTTTTGACACTGGACGGCGGCTTTTAAGATAGATTTCTTAAACCGCCATTGCCATATGGAATCGGAAAAGAACAGCTGTTGAAGCTCTCTGGTTTTATCCTTCTTGAACATAAGAGGAAGATTTCAACAATGGATTTTGTTGTCATCAAGGCTTCAAGTGCGAAGAAGGATATCCGGCGGGTTTTGACATAGAGGAAGAGGGAGATTTTTTTTTTTGACGTCGATTGTGAGAACGCAGCGGTCGGGGAGCCCGATAATGAGCTCGATGTTGGTGTTTGAGATCGAAGGCGCGGAGGATGGAGGGTTCGGCGCCATAGAGCTTGATGCGGCCGACGTTGATGGAGTGGAGAAGAGGAGCGACCTTGTCTGGGGAGAGGAGGTTATCGCCGAGTAGGCCATAGTTGAAGCCGACAAGGGAGGAGGAGGTGGTGAAATTTTCCGAGCGAAAGGTAGACTCGGGACGGAGTTCCGACGGAGTGGTATTTTTGATGAAATGGGGTGTATTTAGGTGGTAGGTATGTAAATAGTATACTTTGGGTGTTAGATAAGTAAATATAATAGTTTGAAGTGTTATGTATGTAAAAATCCCCAAAAAAAAATAGCCTCATTCTACATTGCTAATGTAAAGAAGACAAGGGCAACCAATTCTATTGAATAAGAGGAGAGAACATTTTATTAGATTATTTAATCCTGTTGCAATCATCAATTTGACAAGATCATACACCACCAAGTTTGTTCTATTTTTTACTTTTAAACTGCAGGACTAATTAAGCATTTAACAAATTGATAAAGTTTGGGCACCTATCCAGCATTTGAACGGATGATTGCAATGGTTTCTCTAGCCTACAGGACAAACTTCCTTAAATCAAAAGTCCATTCCACCATCTTAAGAATTCAAATTGATGAGAAAAATGTCAAAATAGTCCATAGACTATTTTTCTAAGGCCATTTTAGATCGGGGAAACTTTTTCATTGCTTTATTTTTCAAACTAATGCCACACATCAGTTTAGGTACTATTTTATTACTACGTCTTAGAAATTTTTGTTATGAGAATCTGCTTTTGAGAACCAGATCTGCTAAAATTGGATAGCTGCAAGAAATATGCCGTTCAAACTTTTCAAAAAAGAAAATATTTAGAATACCCAAGGGAGATTTAAAAAAATGTTATTTTTCTCGCAACAACTTTATATCAACTTTTACAAAAAGCTGCAACTACATCAAATGGACCTTTAGTCTTAGCTATATAATGTATTCAATTTAATCCCTTGACTCCTCAAATATGATCCAAAATAGTCATTCTATTGGATTCTTTTTAATCATATTTGAGGAGCCAAAGGATACTTTTTTATCAGATTTGAATAGTAAAGGGACTTATTTGGACACATTAGATAGTTCGTGGTTAAAACGACCAATTGATTTTAAGAATAAACAATTCTAAAATTCCCTATTGTACTTCTTAACTTAAATAAAACTTGAATTACAACCAGAGTGAATGAAGCTGCCACACAAGTTACTCAGAATCGCTACATTATCAAATCATAAATGGCTTAAGCAATACACTAAAAAGGAGTTTATCACAAAGTAAACGCACTTCCATTATCGTGTATGTTGCATATATTAAGGCACAATAGAGTATTACAATGTGAAATTCCATTGTCATTTTCCTTGTCACTGTTGCAAAAAGAAAAATAACCTCAGGACGGGTTTATACAGAATTTGAGCATAAAAATTCCTTGATAAAATAATTTAAAATATTTACAGGGCTTTGAGTTCAATTTATTTTAAGAAAGCATTTTCATGGCATGTCTTAGACACAAAAAATATGATCAAAATGACAATGAAGTTAAATAATGTCAACGAGTTTATATAAAGCTTTATAAAAGTGATGGTGTAGGACAATTAAATGAAACACCCAGTTAGATTAGCTCTGCAATGACCAACCCTATTTTCCAACATTCAAGAAATACTGGTGTGAGAGTAATAAAATGCCATAAGAACAAAGTAAAATTAAGCCACATATGGAAGCTTGGTTAACTGACAAAAACACGTTTCATAATTAATAAAAGTAAATGCAAGTAAAGATCTACAATCGAAGAACAATTTCCACTAGGAAATAACAAAAATTGCAATTTGATGAGGACATTAAATCTAGAATGCCATTGGTAGCAACTCCATCTATTAGTAGACATTTAGACTTCAAGTAAGACAACTAACATAGATCATCTAAGCCCGATGCTAGGATTCTTGCATAAGAAAGAACTCTTCTTGAATGAGAGAGAGAGAGAGGGAGAGGGAAGAGAGAAAGGAGCTAACAGGGACCTGTATCCCTTATTCAATTCAAATGGTCTTTACAAGAGAAAGTCACCTTACAACATCTTATACCTCCTGTATATAGGAATTAGACACCGTTGTGTTGCCTTGTGGAACATCGTCAGTAAAATCAAATCAAAATATTATAATCTCCACCTTGGTCCGATTTTACAATCAAAGAATCATTTGTTTACAAGAACTCATGCTTGTTGCAATTCAGTCGTCTCCCTAAACTAACTCCACGAGCAAACCCGTCGAACCAAGCCCAATACCGCTCGCGAATGGCCTCCACCGTGAGTTCCAATCCACGGCTCCAGCTCCAGCTCCAGCTCCAGCGCGTTCTAACACACAAGCACCTGCAGTTGTCGTTGTTTTTCCCGTGATCCGGGCTGTGCCTTGTGCATTGCTTGCTCCTGCGTGGAACATTCACGCTCCAGCACCAAGAACTCTCTGGCTCGCCTAACTTCCACGGACACCCATGCGCGCTCCAACATGTGACTTCGCATGAGCCACCTATCTGATCCTGAGCCTAGTGCTCGCTTCTTGCGCACACCTACGTGATTAGCTTTGAGGTTATTGATCCTGCTACCACGACTCCAATTTGCGTGAAGACACATGTCCGACCAAACAACCGCATCGGTGATCGCGTGCGTGCTCCCTGCCGGCCCCGTCTTGGCTCTGCCAAATCTTGGAGAATTTTGCTTCTTGAATTTAGCAACAACTCCACCACGGGTCTTTACTTCACTGCCTTTGCTTTTTCCTAAGGGTGTCAATTTAGGTCAATAGGTTGGGTTCGAATTGAACCCGGAACTGACCCGACTCTATTTGACATGACTCAAACCTGACCTATTTTTGTAAACGTTGCTAACCACTGTTGGAACTGAGAATGAGTGATAGGACGTGACGCGGACGTCGAATCGTCGATGACGGCCATCGAGACCAAACACAACATGAATATAGGACGGGATGTGTACGGAATGACGTCGAGTCGTCCTGCGGCTTAGCGGTATCCGACAGTGCGGACAGCCATGCTAGGACCGGCGGCTGGCAAGGCTCGCCGCTCGCAGTAGCGAGCATCTTACACGCACATTTGTTCACAATGAGCGGTTCACTCATCCTGCAGTGCGGGTCTGGTGGGCTGCACACAACATAAAAAACAAACAAAATGTTTTTAACTAATGTTGGCTTTTAGATGAACCAATTATCTCTTACTAAGCAATTTCTTTTTCTACAAAAGATCTAAAAGAGTTTGGCAAATTTTTTCATTAAACAGCATATCGTAGCAGAACTATATCAGTTATGAAATAGTTGCTGCGAGATTTGAGCCTTTCCATGCTCTTTGGAAAGCAAATGGCAATGCCACTTGAATTATAGTTCAGTAACATACAACAGCAGGTTTAGTATACTTTAGTTAAAATCTAAATGAAATCAAAATTAGCAAAAACATCATTTTTTTCTACGGTGTTAAAAATTGTGCAAATATAAGTACAAGCCAAAAAATGAAGAGTACCTTTGGGATCATGTCAACATTGTAATCTCTGCTAGGACCTAAATGTGCTGGCGGTTTATCACTCCCCCTAAACCTTTTCCACAGCTGAAATGAAAAACAAAATAAGAAATTGATAGGCAAAAATGTAAAACGATTTCATTAGGCAATGGAAAAATTCTAATAATCATCTGCAAGAGGAATTTTGAACGTGATTAAAAAATTAGAAGAAATAGTTATATATAACAAATGCTAGTTTCACGCACTTCCGAATGTGGGTAATGAAGTATCAGTAGCGGCATGGCACTCTTTGTTTAACAAATATCAGTCACTCCAACCATGCAAGTCTAAGAATAGACGTGCAGTGCCAATACTAAGCTTAGATAACCATCATGGGGTAAGATCCATGCATTTACTAAAAAAACATAATCTTAAGCCTCTACAATATAAACAATACTTGAAAATGCTCATTACCTGAATGAGATTAAGTGAAGTTGACTCTCCGCCATAGTAATCATTGCGGTCCATGTGCAAAACCTATTGAAACAATGAAAAATATGTTAATAAATATCTTCAACAGAGACACAATAATGCAGATAAACACTATTTTTTCCAAATGCCAAAAACTAAAGTCTACAAACTAGTAATATAAATCCATCTTTAACAAAGAATAAATGGAAAAACAAAATGGAGGTTGAAGAGCAAACAATTAAGAGACTCTACAGTCAAACGAAATACGAAAGAATAGATCCCTTGTGCGCAACATTATAAAACTTCCGACAAAAACGCTTAAATGAAAAATGTTAACAAAATTCCATGTCAAATCCTCATATGGGAGTTCTGTAAGACATAATCATAGGACTCCAACTAGTGAGTTTGCCTTGGCCTAAATGTCCCCCAAAAAATTCCATCTTTTATTGTCCCAGAAAAAAAAAAAGTATTCAAGACAGCAAGCCAAAACACTGATCGCAACACTAGCGCCTACATTGGATCCAGTTCAATATATGCATAATAATGCCAAACATAAAATAACACAGAGCCGATTCAACTGCCAATTTCACTATTCAAATAACCAATGATAAAATGGGAGAAATACATCGTAAGCAGCTAATATCGACCAGTTGATTAAAAACCAGCCACCCCTTCTCACTAAAAATGATCGCAACAATAATAAGACCGGAAAAGTACATCGGACGAAGTTGAGATCAATAAATTCAGTGAAAACACAATCACCGCTTCTAATTAAAAATGATCGGACCGCAAATTCCCGATCCGATAACAGAAGTTTATGTCAAAAGATAGATCAGCGGCGATTGGAAAAGGAGAATGAATGAAAAAAATACCTTGAGGCCATCAACGGAGAGAAGACCACTGAGGATGCACTCTTTCAGTCCGGTTCCGAGCACTATTACATCGTATTCTTCATCCATCGCGAGATAAGCGGAATCAGGATGAGAGAGTGAGAGGAAAAGAACCAGAGAGACGACCCGTCGAAGTAAAGCAAGGGCTTACAGACGTGTTGGCCGCCTGCGTAGGAAAAATGCCACAAAAAGAAGACTTATCGATTATTAAAAAGGAAGTTATTAAAAAGGAAGAAATAAGATAAAACTTAGGCAGAGTAAATTACTAATAAGCCCCTCATATTTTTGTAATTTAATCAATTTCATGTGCATTGCCTATTGTAAATTGTTGATGAAGTTTTTCTTTAGTCTTTAAATAGATGAGATATCCAATTTCTCTAAAATAAATGTTTGGACTTTGGCATATTAAACTTATTATGTGTCAAAATATTTGCACGTAGAGAGATAACGAGGTTAACGTCTTAGCTTTATACTAAGTTCATCACATATATAGATAAGAGAGAGGGGTACAATAATTATACGAGACGTCATAATTTTTATTTGGAAACCTCAAAAGTGAGAAAAATCAGGAGATCTTGACTAGTTGAAATGATTCTACTAATGTTGATTGTTGATTGCAAATGATGTCCTTCCTCGGGAATGGTGTTGGCTAAATGTAGTAAATATGCATTGTATAGAGCATATTAAATAATTGGAGTTGGAGAATCCGATGACATTCGAACCATTTGTAAGACTTAATAGAGTTCTCTAACTCCTGCAAGAACTCGCATCATAATTTATGTAAAAGAAATCGAAACAAAAAAAAGACTTGAATCTACATAAGTTTTAAATCCTCAAGATCTTAAAACAAGATGATTTTCACAATCTTTAATCGGAATAAAAACATACCTTGATTCATTTTGAATTCGTCGAATTTCGAACTACGATTTCTCTCCATTCTCCCTACACTTTCTTCTATTATGAGTTAATCCTCTATGGAGCAAGATAACTCCACCTTATAAGAGAGAGAGAGGATCAATAGTTATTTCCTACGAATTTATCATAATAACCCCTCATGAGAGTTATTTTACAATAACTCATAGGAGTTATTTTACAATAAATGCTCATATGAGTTATTTTACAATAACTCATAGGAGTTATTTTACAATAAACGCTCATATGGGTTATTTTACAATAACTCATAGGAGTTATTTTATAATAACTCAAAGGAGTTTCGATAAAGAAACTAAATTTCTAGAAACAGAAGGTACATAAAGAGTTTGAAAAAGATCTAAATGATGTCCAGTATCTAAAATCAAACGATATGTTCCAATGGCTTCAACTTGAGCTTTGACTCTATTTCCCATGAAGACAAACTTTTCATTTGGCTTTATGGTTTGGGTCGTAAGAAATCCCTGCATCACATTTGAAACATGAGTGGTGCAACCAGAATCAATCCACCAAGTATTATAAGGAACCTCAGCCAAATTTGATTCGAAACATACAAAAGCACTAGGCTTACCTTTCTTTTCAAACCAAGCCTTACGTTTCAGGCAATCTTTCTGATAGTGTCCACGCTTGTGACAGAAATGACATCTATCATTCTTTGGTTCCTTCTTTTGGATTTGGACAGATGACACATTAAGCTTTAGGTGTCCTTTATTGCCCTTTGGATTTTTCTTTCCTGGTTTTTTTTTAAAATCTGGTTGATCTATGAGATTAATTGAGTGAATTCCTTGTTTCTTAAGCCTTGATTCCTCCTGAATAAGCATACTTTGTAATTCGGTCACATTCCATTTATCTTTAATAGTATTATAATTAATTTGGAATGGACCATATTCAGGAGGTAATGAGTTTATAATAAACTGTACAAGGAAGCTTTCACTCACTTTCATTCCCATAGTATTCAATCTTGCTGCTATATTAGTCATTTCAGTAATGTGCTCATAAATAGTACGAGAACCATCAAATTTTATGGTGGTTAACATACCCATTAAAGTTCCAGCACGTGACTTATCAGCAGACTCAGATTGAGAAACATTCTCCACAGACTTCATAAATTCTTTAGCATTATCTGTTATTGGAAGTGTTGGCTTAATAATGTCTGCTACAGTCATCCGCATAAACATTAGGCTTAATCTATTTGATCTTTCCCAAGCTTCATGAAAAGATCTTTCTTCAGCACTGCTTGTATCAATAAGAGCAGTAGGCTTATCATTAAGTAGTGCAAAATCCAGATCCAAAACACCTAAATGAAACTGGATTTGTTCACTCCATTCAGAATAATTAAGCCCATTGAACTTTATAATAGATGAAGCTTGCGAATGAAGAATTACAGAATTAGATGCTGCAAAATAAAATACAAGACTCTCACATATCGATGATTTGAAAATTAAATTTAAAACATAAAACAGATTCAGATAACATTTCATTAATCAATAAAATGTATATTGAAGTTCTCCTTTGGGTGATACTACAATATACAATGGTAATCATAATTGATGCTTAAAATAAAATTCTCATAATTGATAATTATACATACTCCAATTAAATATATTTGCTATCTTTGGATATACTAAATATATTTAATTAAGTATGATAATTTATCACATTTATATCCAATAGTACAAAATGACTAATCAACCTTTGGGCGATTCTTAAATATTTTGTAGCAATTTGAATGTTAATTACTCGTGATAAAATTTTTATATAACATTATGTCATTCTGTTTATAGCATCGCATACTCACGAGTAATTAAATATTATCTAATTGATATTTATGAAAACTTTCTAGTTTGACCACTTTGGTGATTAACAAACTATGCTTGATACAAATATCAAATTAAATAATTATGATGATGATTATTTCAAATAAATGAAATACATAAGGAAAATACTTAATGTATATAATTACATATACGAACAAAATCTCTTTAAATGAAATATGGATTTACGTCATTAACTTTAATATGACAAATCCATTCATAATGAAATAAATAACATAAATTATTTCCAAAAGCAAAAATAGAAACATAATTAATTTGCCATGAATTAATCAAGATAAAATTATGATTCAATAATTGAAATCGATAACAAATAATATGAATTCGATTTCATTAGAAAGAATCATCGAAGAAATTAAAGAGAAACTTAAACGGAAAATCACTAGTTTTCAACCATGCTCTGATACCACATGTAAGACTTAATAGAGTTCTCTAACTCTTGCAAGAACTCGCATCATAATTTATGTAAAAGAAATCGAAATAAAAAAAAAGACTTGAATCTACATAAGTTTTAAATCCTCAAGATCTTAAAATAAGATGATTTTCATAATCTTTAATCGGAATAAAAACATACCTTGATTCATTTTGAATTCGTCGAATTTCGAACTATGGTTTCTCTCCCTTCTCCTTACACTTTCTTCTATTATGAGTTAATCCTCTATGGAGCAAGATAACTCCACCTTATAAGAGAGAGAGAGGACCAATAATTATTTCCTACGGATTTATCATAATAACCCCTCATGAGAGTTATTTTACAATAACTCATAAAATAACTCCTATAGGAGTTATTTTACAATAAACGCTCATATGAGTTATTTTACAATAACTCATAGGAGTTATTTTATAATAACTCAAAGGAGTTATTTTATAATAACCGCTCATAGGAGTTATTTGATCAAACGGTCCATAAACGAATGATCAAATTATCTTTTCTTGACCAATAGGATTTAAACATAAATAATTAAATTGTAATAATTCAAATATATGGGCCACATAATGGTTTATATAATTAAATATATATTCTTAAATAATTATTGTGACGTCTCGCATAATTAATATATTTAATTAATATCTTTTCTTAACATTTTAGTAGTAAGATCAGTACAATTAAAAACTATTTAACCTATAGTATTAATGATTATGATGGTTGGTAAGTAATTGAGGCTTAAATAAGATGCACAAGTCAAAATACAATTCAGATACAATAAGTTCTAATAACATTTAGTGAGTTCAAGTCAATCAAAGCTATCCATTCGAGTATACTCGGCTGAAGAACTGATTAGGCAAAACTATTGAAGATATTCACTCAACTTGCCCAAGGAGCACACCCAAACTACTCGGCAGCAACCGATAAGCCACAATGAAGAAGGCGGTGGACTTCACATATTTTTGTCACCAATTAGTTCATCACATATAATGCATATTTTTGGAATTCTAGAGCATTGATGTCTGAAAATAAGGGGACAACTTATATGCCTTCAAAAAATTATCTTGATTGGGTACGAATCTCGATGCAAAATCAAGTTGGAAACTTCCAAGATTAAAATTGGGACCATCCGAACTCTGATTTCAGTAAACTTATAATCGAACTGAACGTCTCGGAAATATGAATCCAAGGACACCAAATTCATCTCAATCCAAGCTCAAATGGGTCCAAATAAATGGTCTGAAGTGTTATAGGAGAGTTCAAACCACAATTTGGATTACCAAATTGTTTCCAAACATGACTTGCTTATAGTCGAATCGAGCGGCTTGACGAGACGAATCCAACGAGCCCAATATCATTGAATTCCAACATCACTAAGACATTCAAATGCTCATCAAACAATCTACGATCAAGGGACTCAACATCGACCGTCCATCCAAACCACTCCCCATTTGCCCTTGATCCTCCTATTTACGGGTCATACCACTCTAAGAAATCTATAAATAGATCCCTCCTCCCTCTTTAAAAAGGGGAATCCAAGCAAGAGAGCAAGAGAGAGATCGAAGATCGCTCTTGCCTCCTCACTCCTCCTCGACCACCGGTTGGAGTTTCGCCAGACCACCACTTAAGTCCATGAGCTCCACCAGACCACCACTTAAGGCCCTGAGTTTTACCAGACCACTTGAAGCCCTGAGCTCCACCGAACCACCACTTAAGGCCCTGAGTTTTACCATACCACTTGAGGCCCTGAGTTTCGTCGGACCACATGTGAGGCTCTGAGCTCCACCGGACCACCACCTTATGCCCTGAGTTCTACCGGACCACCACCTAACACCCGGAGTTATGCCGGACCACCACCTGATGCCCGAAGTTCTTCGAGATCATCACTCGAGGTTCATAATTCTATCGGACCACCACCTGAGGCCCGGACTTTTGCCGGACCACCACCTTAGGCCCGAACTTTTGTCAGACCACCACCTGAGGCCTGAGCTTCTGCC